CAAGAGGGTAGGTCAACTGTAAATTTTGCTCCCCTTCCTGTCACTAAGTTCCTTGAGGACAAGGAGGGTATGGACTGCTGCCCTTGTGCCTGCACACAGCTGCCAGCACAGAGAAGCACAAATATCTCTCTGTGGCCCTGGATGTGCCTGCTGTCTGTATTCTACCAGGACTCTGGATTCTCCTTTTCAACCTGAAAACAACTCGTTTCTAATTACTCTTCCATAGGAAGCACAGGCAACAGATCCCCATAAGTCACTTGGGACTGAGTTTCAACACTTTTGTTTTGCACAATTTCAACACTCGCACCAGCTGCAGCTGAAGACCATAGCACTTCAATGAAAAGCAACTGGCTCCCTCCCCACCCCCTCTGCCCATCGGCTGCTGTGGTTAGCACTGCACTCGGAGACAGAATAAATAAAAAGCAAAAGCCTCCATTGTTCTAAGATAACCACAGAAATGACAGATGCTGTTGCATGCAAACTTGGGGGAGAAGAGAGATAAACTGCAACAATAAAAATCCAACAAAGCATGGTGATGAGAAGCCTGGGTGGGCAAGGCCTCTTGCTGAGGTGTGATGTCAGAGATCAGATGGAACGTGCCCTCCTGGCCCCACCCTCCCCTCACCCCTGAACTCTTCCTCTTCCAACTGGTTGGGTTTAGAATTTCTTCAGCAGGAAAGAAGATTTAGCCCCACTGGAAGAATGCTAACTTCCAGGCTGAGTGCCCCTTTGGGAGACCCCCCGGCCCAGCTTACAGGATGAGCAAATGGCCAGGAATGAGAAAAGCTGAAATGGAGCGGCAAAGGGAGGGAGGTTTCCTTCGGCCCACCTTTCAACCCCGAGTGGGCTCCAGAGAGCTGCTAGCTGTGGTCACATTCATCCTGGGGTGCGGGCAAAAGGATGGCTCAATACCTTAGCTCATAGCCACCACTTCCAGGCTCCACTTCCTTCCTTCACCAAGTAATGTAAAATCATGAGGACCCAAGACAGCTGGAAGCACCCACCTTGTGGTCCACGGTTGCTCCATGGTGTATCTGTCTCTTTTATCACATTCTGGACACATCCAAGTCACCAATACCACACATACCTGGTGGCATTGTAGCTTTCTGTTGACCCATGTGAACTAGCCTTCAGGCACCAGGGTTCTCACTCACACTGAGCACGCTGCCTGCCATTCAGAAGTTGCTCAATACACATTTTTGGACTGAAAGAGCAAAAAGGTCAGGGGAGCCAATCCCACTCTATAAAATGGGAAAGCCATCAAGGAACAGCCATCACGTTAATTAGACCATATACGTATTGTCACCCACCTTCTTTGCAGCGTGTCGCCATCTCACCCATTTTCGGAGCTGCTCTTATCTTTGTCATGACCATCACCACCGTGGCATCAGTGACGACACACTTAAAAGGTGAGAGGCGTAATTGTAAACCACACCTTTTTAAAAAAGACTTTGGAAGCAGCATGATAGATTGGCTAAAATGTCAGGTTGTAGAGACAGAAAAACCTGGGTTCAGATCCTAGTCCTGTGTATGAGTTATGAGTCTTGGTGAAGCCGCTTCACTCTGCTACCGTTCCCTTGTCTAGAAAAGGGAGGTAGTGCTACCACTGTCTCAGGGTCGGGGTGGGGGGGCAGTGGTGGTCTGCTGAAACAATCCATGCAATAGAACAACACTTCTGACTGTCTCATATTTCATTTTTACTGCTGATCTCCATCCAGCTACTCAGGCAGGACGCTAAAGCAGGAAGAGAGCAGAGTTCTTTCCCTTCCACTTTCCAGCTCCTGAGAGGAAGGCCTGGACATAGCAAGGCAGGGGCTGCAAACTCAAGCAGGCAGAAGAGTAACAGAAGTGGGCCGAGTGGTCAGGGGCCGATGAAGCAGAATCGCTTTCATATCGAGTCTGACCTCTTCTCTCTGCTGGAAAAAGACGGCCTCCCTAGCTTTCAGTTTCCCCCTTGAAGAGACATGAGTACGTGAGTGGTTTCCCTTCCTCCTTCATCTCCTATGAAAGAAAGAGCACAGTGTTGCTAGATGGCAGTCAACACTCAGGCTGAACGCAAAAGGGTCAGCGAGACATGGTGGGGAAGACTCCAGGGGCGGGGCAGGGAGGTCTCCTTAAAAGGCTGGGCGGCGTGGCTCACGCCTGTAATCCCAACACTTTGGGAGGCCGAGGCGGGTGGATTGTGAGATCAAGGAGTCGAGACCATCCTGGCCAACATGGTGAAACCCCGTCTCTACTAAAAATGCGAAAATTAGCCGGGTGTTTGGCACGCCCCTGTAGTCCCAGCTACTCAGGAGGCTGAGGCGGAAGAATCGCTTGAACCCAGGAAGCGGAGGTTGCAGTGAGCCGAGACTGCGCCACTGTGCTCCAGCCTGGTGACAGAGCAAGACTCCATCTCAAAAAAAAAAAAAAAAAAAAAAAAGACAGCTGCTACCCAACCCAGCCGGCAGCCGGGTGTTTTCCAGTTCTTTTGATAATCCAAAGATTCTTCAGAATTGTTCAATGTTACACATGTTCAGGGTCAACATAAAATGGCAGGTGTGTTTTGTACAGTGTTTCTCATAATATTAACAGCAAATGACTAAAAACAGCCTGTGTCCATCAGCAGGGGATTGTTAAACTATGGTAAATCCATACAATGGGATACTATGCCCCTGAAAAAAAGAATGAGGACCCTCTCCATGTACTGAGAAGGAAAGATCACCAAGAAAAATTAAGTGAAAAAAGCAAGGTTAAAAATACTGTGTATAGTCTGCTGGAATTATGGAAGAAATGGAGGAATGGAGGCAGATATATATTTGTACCGACTTTTATCTGCAAAAAGAAATCCTGTAAGGTTGTATAGGAAACTAATAAAAGTGGTTACAGGGAGGGCAGGGCAGGACTGGCCAATGGGGGCAGAGATAAGATTTCACTGGATACCTTTCTGTAGCGCTTTAATTTTTGAACCACACGAATGTATTGCTTATTTGAAAAATAGTACAAAAACACTGTGTACACCAGCTACTGGGAAGAAAACATCTCCAGGCTACAAACACCCTGCAGGTTTCCAGGCTGCAACTTTTGCACTTAGGGCTCCGAAACCAGAGAGGCAGAAAAGTTGGCAGCATTGGGTCCAACAACTTACTTGTCTTCTACTTTGTTTGAAGACAAGTAGGTTGTTCAGGATCTGGTGTCGGGAACTCTCTTTGGATTGCCTAGCAATGAGCTAATTGGGCCCAGCAGCCCCCACCGCCTCTAGGGGGAAAGTGATGCCCTCCAGCTTCTATGGGAGAGGCTGCTCCAAAACTCAACTTCCCAGGAAACTGAGGAGCCCCAAGGTCACCAGGTGCTGCTGGGCAGATGGAATTTCCTGGCATTCCTCAACCATTAAGGTTGTCTGGAACCCCAGTAGTCTGTTCCCCTCTGTCATGGCTCTGCCTCACTCATCCCATACAAAGGAGAGTGACAGGTGGTGCAGTTCCTCCTCTGGAGCACAGCATCCAGCGTGTCCAGATGGGCCCCAGCTCAGCACACTTCCCCAGAGAATGCTGAGAACAGAGGACATGCTCCCCCGCTGGCACTCTGCCAGTCACTTTCAGGCAGCACCACGGAATGCCATTCATATTCACCCCGGCCCTTTGTATGTCCCTGGTCCTGTCACTGTGAAAGAACTCACTTAGTGTCATGGCTTGAACTGTGATCTCCAAAACAAGACACATGTACCTCAGAATGTAACCTTTTTGGAAACAGGGTTGCTGAAGATGTAATGAATTAAGATGAGGTCATACGGGAGTAGGGCGGTTCCTAGTCCAAGATGGCCAGTGTCCTCATAAAAATGGGAATATTTGAAGACACACACACACACACACACACACACACACACACACACACAGGGAGAATGCCATGTGATGACGAAGGCAGAGACCGGAGTGACGCCACTGCAAGCCAAAGAAGACCAAAGTCGGTTGGCAAACCATCAAAGCCAGGGTGAGCCAAGGAGGGGCCTCCTGTATACCACAGAGAGATCATGGCCCTGCTGACATCTTGGTTGCAGACCTCTGCCTCTAGAACTGGGAGACCTGACACTTCTGTTAATCACCCAGTTGGTGGCACTTTGTTATGGCAGTCCTAGGAAATTCATAAATCCAGCAACCTCAGGCCAACTCACGTGGCAAAAGTACCCACCACTGCTCCTCCTCAGCAGGTGCCTAACAGACATTGGTGACAACTCTGCTTTCATGAATGAAGATTCTAGGACCTGGCCTGGTCAGGTTGATTGTATCAGAACACATCAACTACTTAACCAATAAACAGTACTCCACCTTGTGAAGAATGCAAGAGAAATAAAACATTCCATTACTGCCCTCAGGGAGTTGACAATCTGATAGAAGATTCAAGAAAGACACATGTAATAATGGCCAAATTAGCATTATCTTCCCCCAAGCCTCACCCATGACCAGCAGATGTCATAGAGGCCACTCTTAACTAAGGTGCACTGTGCTCCCAGCTGGATTCAACTTTTTACCGCATCTTGCTGATCCCTGCATGTGTCTGGAAGAACTGCTTTTCCAGCTCTTCAGGACATTATTTAGGATGTCAGGCTATTAGACAATTTCTAGAAACTGTCGTCACTGCTCCTGGCATGGAGCCCACACTTCTTGCCCATTGTGGACAACCATTCCTGGCCAGAATTGTCTGCCACCCCTGGCGAAGTTGCTCCCTTCAGTTTCGTATCAGCTCTTTTGTCCCAGTCAGAGAAGGAGACCCTGTGGGGTGTTGAGCCTATTCTGCAGCTCCCAATGAATCTGACGAGCCAAACACATGAGATCCAGGTGGTCTGAGAGTCCACTTTGTTGAACTGACAGTTTTCTAGCCAGGGGCAGGCTACAGAAAATCAGAGACCCTTGGCAGAAATGCTGCTTTCTTTATCCTCATTCAGAACATGTGTTTGTTTGGCCCAGCCATCGCGCAAGTGGCTGTTCCCAGTACCCTCTACATCCAGGAACTCTGATTCTTACCATCAGCAAGACTCGTGTCCAGCCACACACCTGGCAGGAGAGGAGGCAGCACACCTTGGCTGGATTCTGCAGGCACTTCTGCTGGATCCCAGCACTCTTGACTCTGGCTTCCGCAGGGTTTCTCTTCTGCTGAGCGCCCAGTGGAGGCTTTGTCTGGGCTCATGGAAGAAGGCAAGTTGCTGCTGCTCCACCCTTGACAAACAGCCCGATGACCCCAGGTGGCTCTGTGCCAGGCTCCTGAAGGGCAGCTGTGGTCAGGGCATGACCTGCTGTTAGAACAGAGAGAGGAAAAGGTTCCTCACTTTGACTTCAAGCAATTCATTTTAGATTATCTGGGTTGGGCTTCGAGGCAGACACTGCTGCTGGCTTAAGCAGCATCCATTTATTCTTTCCTCCTTTCTAGCAGAGTTCCAGTTCTGTTCACTCGGGACAGTGACCTGCCACCCCCAGTAAAGTCACTCCCCTCAGTTTCTTTTTTTTGAGACGGAGTCTTGCTCTGTCCCCAGGCTAGAGTACAGCGGCACAATCTTGGCTCACTGCAACCTCCACTCCCTGATTTCAAGCGATTCCTCTGCCTCAGCCTCCTGAGTGCTGGGACTACAGGCGCACACCACCACACCCGGTTAATTTTTTTGTATTTTAGTAGAGACGGGGTTTCACCATGTTGGCCAGGATGGTCTCGATCTCCTGACCTCATGATCCGCCCTCCTCAGCCTCCCAAAGTGCTGGAATTACAGGCGTGAGCCACCATGCCCAGCCCATTAGTTTCTTATCAGCTGTTTTGTCCCAGTCAGAGCAGCAGATCTGTGGGATATTGAGCCTATTCTGCAGCTCTCAATGAATCTGACAAGCAAAACACATGAGATCTGGGTGATCTGAGAGTCCAAGGGTACCGGCTCAGAGGCCTTATCCAGCCAAGACAATGCAGGCTTCTTGACAGTGGATAGGGTTGGGGAGCCTCTACCCCACCTCTGGTTGTTAAGACATGAGAGGAGCCCTGCTAGGGGTGCTCGGGGAAGTGTTTTCCTGGCTCTTTCCTTCTGCTAGGTGCTGCGCCATCTAATATGTTGATTAGAACTTCTGCAGCCATTTTACAACCATGAGAGGGAAGCCTGAGACAGAACAGAAAGCATGAACCCAGGCCCTTAATGACATGGTTGACCACTGGATCAGAAAACACCAACATCACCCTTCCTCCAGACTTCTTATTACACACATAATACATATCCTTCTTTAAATCCATTGAGTTGTGGGTTTTTGCTACTTGCAGCTAAGATTATCCTAAGCGAGGTGCACTGAGATGTTCCTGAGACCACAAGACCACATTCTTCAATCCAGTCCCACTGTCCTTACTACAACATTCCCAAACTTTCAGAACACACACACACACACACACACACACACACACACACACACACTTTTCTCTCTACCTTTTCTTGGTATTCAGTCCTGTTCCCAGACTGGACACATTCTGCCATATTTTCAATAAATTCTGTTACATACGGCAATTCCATTATTTAATTAAGAAACATTTTTTACCCCCACTGATGTACTAGACACTTTGCTGGGCTGCTGGGACTCAAGATGGAAGTCAAGGACTAAAAGCTGAAAGTGGGATGGAAGTTCCTCAAAAAACTAAAAACAGAACTACCATATGATCCAGCAATTCCACTTCTAGGTATATGTCTGAAGGAAACATGATCAGTAGCTCAAAGAGATGTCACACACCCATGCTCACAGCAGCAGTATTCACAATTACCAAGACATGGAAGCAGCATAGGTGTCCATCAGTAGATTAATGGCTAAGGAAACTATGGTGTGTGTGTGTGTGTGTGTGTGTGTGTGTGCGCGCGCACATGGGCGTGCGTGTGCATATACACAATAGAATATAATTTATCCATAAAAAGGAGCAAATCTAATATTTGTGACAACATGGGTCAACCTCAAACATTAAGGGCATTATGCTAAGTGAGGCAAGCCAACAGAGAAAGGCAAATTTATGATCATATATGTGGAATCTAAACAATTGAATTCAGAGAAACAGAAGAATGGTGCTTTCAAGGGGCTGTAGGTGGGGGAACAGGGAAATATTGGTCCAAGGGTACAACATTGCAGTTACAACGCAGATAAGTTGGTAAGTCCTAGAGATCCATGAGGACTTGAGTTAATGCTGTATTGTATACTTGAAATTTGCTAGAAAGGTACATTTTAAATGCTCCTATCACACACATAAAAAATGTCACCTGGTGGGATGATGAATGTGTTAACTAACTTTATAAAAAAATTTTTCTTTTTGAATTCCATGTTAACCAACTTGATTGGGGTATCATTTCATAATACACACATATATCAAATCATCACGTTGTACACATTAAATTTACAGAATTTTATCTTTCAGTTGCGCCTCAATAAAGCTGGAAGAAAATGAAGCCTTGCGGAGGTGCAGCAGATGCACCCCACTCCTGGAAAAGAGGTGGGTGCCTGGTCGCAAACGCTAGGACAGGGGGCACGCAGGCCTGCGAGGGTACGAGGAAGAGTTCAGGGAGGCCAGGGGCAGGGAGAGTGTTAGCAAAACGCTCCTCAGAAAAGAGATGAATTCTTGAAGGGAGATGAGGAACCTACAAACAATAACGAGAAGGAGGCAGACATTCACACCCGAGTATGGAAATAATAATACAAATAACAATCAACAGTGGTGGCAGCTGACAGTTGCTGATACTTACAATGAACCAGGTGGTGTTTGAAAGTTTTCTGGGTACTACCCATTTAATCCTCCTCCAAAGCCTGTAAGGATTACAGGATTAGCCCCCTTTTATGGGTAAGTAAACTGAGGCATGGAGACGTTAAGTGATACAGGAAGTGCATAGCAGAGGCAGGATTTGGACCCAGGTAGTGGAGCTCCCAGGCTCACATGTTTTATAGGTTACACTGGTCATTCTCACAGCGGCCACCAGAAGAGAAGCCCCTGCAGCTCCTGGAAACTTGTTACCAATTCAGATCTTGGGCCTCATCTCAGACCCACAGAGTTAGAACCTCTGTGAGTGAGGCCCTCCTTGTGACTCTGATGTTTGAGAACCCTGCTTGACACTATAAGCCTGTACTGAGAAGGAATGGCATGCCCAGAGGACTGTGAATGCTGCAAAGAGAAGCAAAAGCCAGAGGGAAAGACAAGTGAGCTGTGAAGAAGCTTGCATGTCATCCTCAGGAGGACGGGCTTTACTGTAGGGGCATGAGGGAGAAAGGTGTGGGGTGAGGCAGGGAGGTGGCTTGATCGGGCTTTGTTCTCTGTAACAAGATATCTGGCATGAGTGCTAGTAATAGACTAGATGGAGGAGAAGATGGAAGAAGGGAGCCCAGGTACGAGGCTGATTCCATGACCCCAACAAGTACAGCAGGGGCTGCATTAAGGTGGCGGCAGTGCAGAGAGAGAAAGGATAGGGACAGATCCAAGAGACAGAGTGTGATGACAGCTGAACATGGGTACTGAGCTGGCAGAGGTGTCTACGATGACTCCATGACATCTAGCTTCAGAGGTTAGGTAGATGGTGACATTATTTAACCAGACTGGAAATGCTAGAAGCAGAACAAGTTTGGCAAGGAAGAGAATGAGTTCCACTTGGAAATGTTAAGTTTGAGGCTTCCCCAGGACATCAGGGTAGAGGCATTTAGGATGCAATGGGAGAAATATCTGGTGCTCAGGAGTGGGGATGGGGCTGGACCTATAGGTGTGGGATTTGCCAGTTTAAGTATATGAGGGTCGAGGTGACAGACATAATTGAGGCTGCTCACAGACTGTGCAGAGGGAGCAGGGAAAACTGAGGGCTGGAATGATGCAGGACGCGGACATGTAATGGACATTCAGAACAAGTCAGCGAAGGAGGCTCAGAAGCAGTGCGTAGAGAGAACGCAGAGGAAATCATGTTGTCTCAAACCAAAGGATGAGAAAAGACGGAGAACATTTAATGTGCTGACAGCACATTCGAATGTTGTACACGTCAGACATTCCAAAGAAGAAACCCGGACGTATCAATAAGAAGGTCACAGGTGAACTGAGTCATAGCAGTCCCAGTGGAGGGATGGACGCCGAAGCCAGATTCATTCATAGATGCATTGTCCAATAAGCAACAGCTACCATGTGCCAAGCTTTGTGCCTCGTGCTGGGATAGGGTGATGAACTCAGCCCTTACCAGGTAGTGGAGGGGGGAGAAAGTGGACAGAAATTACAACAATAATTACGGGATCACAACTGGGGTAAGTGCCCTGATGAAGACATGAAGACATACAAAGGGCTTGCTATAGGGACCCTAGAACAACAAGACCAGCACAGAAGACGAGAGAAAGGAAATTACATTTATGTTGGGTCCACAGGGTGAATAGGAGCAACCGAAGGAAAGGCGTGGGGGATTGGTCAGAGTGGTGGGGAAAACTACAGGAAAAGATGTAAGAAAAGAACCTTACACCTTCTGAAACGCTGGAAGGTTCTGCAGAGCCCCAGGGAAGAATAGCCAAAGGCAGCTGTTGTATAACCCGGAGGCAGAGGGACAAGGAGGAGGTACAAGGGCGTGTAGAGGAATTTATCTTAAACAGGCTTGTTTACTTACATTGACCAGGAACTGACCTCTGATCATCTGTGCCTGGGAAGTTCCCTGAAAGGGGACTAGTAAGTGTTAATTGCCTACAGGTTGTGTTTGCCCCAGGTTTTTGGCATTGTGCCTGCACTGAATTAAAGCAAGCAGCTCCAGCTTCTCGGGGTTGCTCTCTGGCCACCAGAGCTGGGCAGTGGCCTAGCTGCTCTTAAACTGCATACCTATGTCTGAGCACTCCCTTCATCCGTTGGCCAGGGTCTGCGGGACAGATCTAGCAGAAAGGTGGGTGGGAAGTATGTTAAGGGACAGCAGGCATAAATACCCTCAGCTAGAAAAAGCTTTTTTGTGTGTTCAAGAAATAGAAGGAAAGCAGGGTGGTTAGAACAATCCTAATCTGGAAGAGAGTGGTAGGAGCTGAGGTTGAAGTATAGGATTTGATGGGCCAGGTTAGAGATTTGGGACTTCATCCCAACAAGCCATAGGAAATCATGAAAGTTAAAATCTAGAAGGTTTCGAGAGACATGATCTGATTTGCATTTTTAAAAAGATGACTTCAGCTGCTTGTGGGGAATGGAATTGGAAGAGAAGGGATGTGGAGTGGATACATGAAGGCTGATTGGGAGAATCATTACAGCCCAGGCAAGGAATGGCGGCCTCTTGGACCAGGGCGATGGCAGCAGAAG